AAAAAGTACCGGTTCCACCCGGTAGACTGCATGTATAAATGTTGTCAAAAATTTGTTGAAAATCTATTATTTTCAATGAAAAAAATTGTAGCGGTTCTCGCCCGATAAACTCTTGCTACTGTTGCAAAACATTTCTTTTTAATGAAAATTGTTCCGATTGCGTCCGATAGCCACGGAATATTATTGTTGTAATGAATTTGCTCTTCGATCAATATTTCCCGTGAAAAAAAAAAAAATACCGGGCGCTCCCGGTAGCATTCTCATCGCGTCGTGATTTTCGAAGCCTTCAAAACGAAGAAAATCTGTGATTTCAACATTCTTTTAATATTGCATCCGCCATCTGCAGGAACAAGGCGATACTATATTTCACTCCGATCGTTAGATGGCACCTCTTCTTACTTCAGCATTCCCCCTCCCTCATTTCCGGTTTGGAATTTTGGCTCTTTGGGATTTTGTCCCCCATCCGTTCTGGAGGGTATCTGCAAGTATACCAAAAAGGCTGTCTAACGTCTGTCCAAAAAGGTAACTTGTGTCTAGAAGTTACCTAGAAGTTAACTAAAAGTTATCGTATGACTGCAAGATACCTTTTGGACGGACATTAGTCAGCCCTTTTGGTATACTTTCAGATATCTTTCGCAAGGTTTGCTACTTGGGAAGAGACGTTTAAATTGGGGCTATTCGCGATCGCAAAAGCTATTTCTCGCCGTCTGGTGGTGGTTTATATGCATATTCAAAATCACGGATAATAATTCCATTCGTCGTATTAATAAACGAATTTGACGTTGTTCTTCGTTCTATTTTTAGAAACTGATGATAAAATATTTATGACTGCATGCTCGATCCACTGCACCCAAGGTCATTCAACCGGAGGTCAATTCCCGTGGTGAAGTTCTACCCCTAGTCTCCTCCACCCAGACGATGGGCTAAAGTTCACGAGAAACGTCACTGACCTTCGATCGGCGAACGAATTAATTCCCCTCTCCTCCTAGTAATGACTTTTTTACTTCCGAGAACGAGAAAATAAAATTTGATGGGTGAGATCAATCGTATTGTATCGGTCTCACCCGGTGGAGGAAAGAGAATGGTAAGGTCTTGTCATCAAAATACAGATGCTTCTTGTCTTGTTATCACTCTGCGTAAGTGATATTTCTTTTATGCAATAATTTTTTGTTTCCGAATGGAAGCTTTCTAATCGTGATTTTTTGCCATTTCTTAATTTTGGGTGGAAATGTCTAGAAATGTCATGAAACGTGAAGAAATGATCTTTTAAAAAAATGTCTGTATGTGTATGCATATGTGTTTTCGTATGTTGACAACTGTCCCCATAACTCGAGAACTATTGAGGCAAAGATGCTGAAATTCTGGCTGCTAATTGGTTCTACTGAGACTCAAATTTGTGCTAAATTTCAGCTCAATCGGTTGAGCGCTTACTGAGATATAGCGATTCTTCGAGAATCGTTTTTTGCCGATATCTCCTGAACCATTCGACCAATTCGATTTTTTTTCTCAAAATACTCATGATGATACCTATTTAATTGGATTGAAAAAAGACCATTACACTCTGAGCAATGTAGTTTTATTCTCGTTTATTCATCTTTTCGTTGAAATTGCTTGTTCGCACGATAACTTATTGACATTTGTATGTGAAACTCTTTTGCTTAATATCTCAAAAACTATCGGTCCGATTTCAATTTTTTTTTCAAAATGTGCGTTTTGATATCATCTATTTAAATCCAACAAAACATGGGTACCATCCCATTGAAATTTCTCGAGATATCGGCGTTTTTTTTTTTTGGTTGGAATTCTCTTTTGCGTACTATGACATGGATAAAAGTCAGGGAAACCTTTTGAATCTTTGGCTTCTAGTTAGGATTGTCGAGGACCATTGTTATATCAAATTCTACGTCGATATATTTGATAGCTTTTGAGATGAAACAATTCACCCAAAATTCTTGAGAAAAAAAAATTAACGCATCTATTTTTCACTGTTCATTTTCACATCAGGATAGCGGAAAAAGTCATATAACATGAATATACGGTTTTATTTTTTGAAAACATATATTGGGGTCCACTCGGAAGCTTGTTACCAATCAAATTGGTAGAAATGAAAATAGGAGAAAAAAATACGTATAGAGTAGCAGTCATATGTAATCTGTCAAATGGCTTCTGTCGCGGTGCTTGTTTTTTTTTGGTTTATGTCTACTACATGTTGATGAATTCGAAACAGAGTTAACAAGAAATTTGTTGCAATACAGGGTTTGCAGCGCGAGGGGATAGAAAACTAACGAAACTAGTGTAATAATTGATAATATCCATCGATCGGAGCGTAAACTTGATAGCTGATGACCTATCTTTTACTTCCTATTGGACATTTTTTCATTATTGGTATTACATCACAAGAATTTAAGGGTAAATGGATTTAGATCATTCAAAAATTTGATTAGTGATGAAGTTTTGTATTCAGTGGAAACTTTAATTTTTATCGTGAATAAATTCATTCATCTCTGCTTGACAAAATCTCTTGAAGCATTTTGTCGGATTACATGCGCATATCGCCGTAATCCCTCGCCGGATAGCAATCCCACATGGATACACACTGCTCTTTCATTGTTTATTCGTTCTCTTTATCTTGATGACTTTCCTCAGGGCGAGAAACGATGAAACCCTAAACCACTGGATCATATCAAATCAGAACATTCCAATGTTGATCGTACCAAGCTATTCTGAACGGTTCAATCTGATAGTAGATCTTCTACAATACATTGCTGAGAGAAATTCGACAACTATTTGTGTTCAATGAAAAATTTTCCGTAACACGTCATTAGCGTTTCACCTCAACCCAACGAGTTTCATGCCCACTCTCCCGCATACCGGTGACACAACCGCATATAAACGCACCTCAAAATGATTCGTATTCTCTGCACAGCAGAAAGGCCTCAATGAACCACAGTCATTCCCTCGAGCTCAACGAGTCGAGTTCATATTCAAAGTATATTTCTCTTCTATACCTATTCTGACCCTTCGATCTCCAATCGAACATCCCGCCATTCTCTATCCATCGGATGAGCTCGTGTTCTGGCTCAAGGGGATTACAAACTAAATAAAAAGAAAAAAAGAGAGAGAGAAGAGAGTGAGTGAGTGAGAGAGAGAGAAAGAGAGAGAGAGAGAGAGAGAGAGAGAGAGAAGAGAAAACAATGTGCCTCTATTTGTAGTATGATCCACGACGGTGAAGGCTTTCTGTTATATTCTCGTCAAATCGTAAGTGTTTTTTGTCATTGGAAACTTTAGTCGATGTTTTAGGGGTCTAACAATAGAGAATAAAAACAATTGCATATCGCAAACCGGTTTTTAGTCTCGATGAAACAAAGTTCAACATTTCGTGAATAAGAAAATTGAATTGAGGAAAACATCATCGGATATTCGTATGGCGTCTCATCGCAAGGATGCGATGACTTCACGATTCGGTAACTCGTCGTCGAAATATCCAGATGTGTTATTACGAATAAAAAAAATTGTTTGCACCTTCCTGTAGATAGTAATAATCTTATCGATTATCGTCGTCAATCGGCCGATAAAAATTCCTATTTTACCTGGGGCACGACTCGAGTGTGGTATTACATTTGTCGGAATATTATGTATTTGGAATAGGAATGAAAGGGATAGTTGACCTTATGCTATGCTTTAGGTTTTAGATTGGGCGGATATTTGGGAGGGCGGGGGGGGGGAGGGTAGCAGNGGGGGGGGGGGGGGGAGGGTAGCAGTGAAGCCCCGGGTGGTACATTACCGTTCTAGGAAGGGCTTCGGATTATTACTGTACCCTCGATAAAAAAGAAAAGAAAGTTTTCGTTTTTCTACATATTTGTTGAATGGATTGTAACAACAGGAGAACAGAGGGGACGACTTATTCTTCATTTTCACAGAAATTTGAAGAGGGATGATGAAAAGTTGTGGGAATGTATGTACACAGAGAAAAAGAATTTTGAAAAAGTAGCATGGAAAAAACGTCAAAATTACGTCCTAAAACATAATTGTGATATATGATTTTATTTTATAAAAATGATTCTTTTTCTGCGCACATTTTAGCATCTTATGAACAAGTATTAACAAAAATTGGAATTTCTTTGCACGGAAAAATTGGCAGCCAAAACTTAATTGTTATAAAACTAGCCAACAAGCGCTTCGCATCTTTTCGAAATTTTTCAAATTGTTTTTTTCTTCTTCAAAAATTGAGGGAGATTAACATTTTTAATTTCTGTGATCGTATTCCGTTTACACAATCAGGAAATACGGAAAATGTAGGGAGGGAAAATCAGAAATAAATTTTAAAAATCGATTTTTCAATCTTGAAAATTTCAAGACGTTTCTTTTTCAATAATGAAGACAAACCACTGGATTTTATTTGTATTATCTAATTTTGATAGAAGAAAGTGAAAAGAGGAAGAGAAACGAGATCAACGAAAACAGAATTTTTAATTTTTCAATGTCTAAGGAAAATTTTAAAATTGCTATATCTTTTCGAATAATGAACCAATACCCATAAATTCAATTTCTATCCTCCCATTTTCATAGAATACATAAAAAAATTGTAAAGAATTCACATCGGCGAGATGTGAACCAAGATAGACATTTGTTAATAGGTAATAAAGAAATTGTTTCCTCATAATAAATATTGCATCGAATACAAACCATGCCGGTGTCAGATTTTTACTCGTTACAATACTGAATACTGCTAATCCAATTAAAATCAAATCGACGGGAATACGAGATAAGAGACAGAACAAAGACCACAACAAAACGAAATATAACTAACGAAATAAAAGCTGAAGTAGATTCCCTTGAACGTGTGTTTACAGAGATAGCTTCAATAAAAACAAATTAATTACTCCGAATTAGTGGATAATAACACCCATTGTATAATAAATAACAATTCGTTTACTCCACAAAGACTCTCTTGTACGAGTATCGCGTTGTGCGCGGGCGCGTCCACCCACACAATTCCAAAATGACACATATTCACATGGGTTTAACAGAATCTAGCGCAGTAGGTGCTAGACATCAGGTACGGACACGTCAAACTCGCCAGCGTGAAGAAGGCCAATAAAAAAGTGAAAGAGGAAAACGTCGGTAATCATTCAAATCTGTGAATTTTGCTAACAAAAGGTGAATAATAGGGAATATCAGCCCCTCAGAGTCAGTTCAAAGTTTGCAGAAGAGAATATTTGGGCTGGGAGCTTTCACGGGAGATTTTCCACTCAATTATTCTGTGTTACCCACTTTTCAATACCTTCTAAACCCGAAGGTGTTTGATATTTCGGAATATTGACCATTTTTCGGGATTTTTTTGAGGATTTGTTATCTGTTATTCAGTTGTAGGTTTTGGGGCTTTGAATTTTTACAATTTTGGAGCTTGATTAGGGAGACAGTGGGGGACCTCCAGTGGACTTGAGCCCATGAACAGCTGATTTAGATATGGCGCGCGTGACAGAATATTCAAGGGTTTTTAGGTTAGAGAATTGGATTATTTCTTTGGGGACTTTTTTTTCATTTAAATATTTTTCAATATTTGTTGTTGCATTTTAGACTTTCCCTTTGGCCGTGGGTGGACCGAACATTTTACAATGATTTTGTTATTCTCACTTTGAACATGACTGAATTTGACGTTCTTTTTTGAACTATGCGGAAATATTTTCAAAATCTCCAAAAAAAATTAGGAAACACTAGTTTTTGAGAAAAGCTCATAATTGTTTGGAAAATGTAATTCTTGGAGATTACGTTTGTTGTCATAAATAATTCATAAACAATCAATTTTCAGCCTTGAAAAACATCTTTCGAAATTGTATAAAAACTTCCATATTCAGAATTTTATTAGAAATGTGTTTCGTGCCGAAATAATAAAGTCTACCAAAGTATAAATAATTTCTGTTATTTCTTTATAAAAAGGGAGTAAAAAAACCAATATACTTTCATAATAGTGTCAACGGCGGATTTTATTCCATTTGCGATGGAAGATTCATCTTGTGACTCTTATGACCTTGTACTGAGAGAAAAACAAACACATTCTGAAACAAGTCTTGTTTGGGCCAGCAAAATGGCTAGTTGGAAATTGCCAAAAAACAATTTAGTACCGAAGTGGTCAAACCGTCTAAGTCAATTTAGTCTAGTTGAGTTTTTCAGAAATATTTCCGAATGTAAGGGAAATAGCAAAATTTTCGTAATAACCTTTTTTGAGGAGCGAATTGAGTGCTACTAAAAAGGTTATGAAAAATTTGCTATCTCCCTTAGATTTCGAGATATTCATCGAAAACTGGCCAATAGCCAAAATCGACTTAAACCATTTGAACACTTCGCTACTGAATTAGTTTGGTTCGAATTTGAAAGTTTCAAACATGAATACTTATTCATGTTTTGAATAATCTCTGCTTTCAACAACAACGAAATATTTGGCTCAAGAGGCAGATAATTCATTTGAAAATCGTGCCTTTTCAGGATGAAAATATCTCATATAGAGGAAAATTTATCAAGAAATATTTTGTCCCTAAGTTAGAAAATTGCTATCATATCATATCATATCATATATCATATCACTTTCTGTATGTTTGACACAAAAAAATCCTCTTTTGATAATTTTCAAAAAACTATTTTCTTGGCACAAGCAAAACTTGTTTGCGAACTCTGTCGTTTTTCTCTCAGTTTAGTCAACCGAGGGTCACAAGGGGTAACAAACGTGACGTGATTTTCGGGAAAATATGAACTCCATAAGAGATGAATATCCATTATTATCACTACATTTTTCGCATGCAATTTAATTGTTAAACTTGCTGATTGAAACTTGAAGACCTCCAGGATATGTAAGAAACAATACAAATAATTATAAACAGTCAATTTGCCACTTTGAAAATCAGTTTTTCGAAACCGTGAAAAATTCATGTCTGTCTACAATTTCACCAGAAATTGATATTATGCAAATAAATCGGCTTACGAAAATTCAGTTTTTAGCATTCATTTACAAGAAGGGAATATTGGAGAAAACAATAATGCCGAGTTAATAACGAGTTTGATAATTATGAATCTTACTTTCTCGTTAATTTGTAATTTTGACATCTAATAAAACCAGAGTATTTCAATTTTCTTTTTAAACAAGAGTATCTCAAAATTCATGTGAAAGCTTGTTGTTCACATTCATTTCTAAGTCTCACGGAGCTCGCAAATCATTTTATTTCTCTTCCAATGTGAAGTATTTCATGTTAATTGTACTTTTTGATGCATTCATACCACTTATACAGCTGTCAAGAGAAGGAAAACGTGAGATTTCAGACGATTTTTTATATGACTTGTGAGATACCCTTGTTTTAAAAATAAAATTGAAATAGCCTTGTTTTTTTAGGAAACGTTGATTTCTCATTCATTTTTAATAATTAAAAATGTTTAAATAATTAATGAAAAATAAAATTTTTTACTTATGCGTTTTTATTTTACTAGGAAAAGATTATAAAATTATTCAATATTAACAAGCATAATTCTTCTATCCGGAAAGTCCCACTTCATGAAATTCTAATATCATTTGTTCCGACGTTTTTTCCCTGTCTTTTTGCGTCAGTGCTTGGCAGCTGTGGCGTCATACGAAACTTAAAATTTAATTGCAGGAGTGGGTTAATGGAGTTGTCGAGGGTCTGACAGTTTTTATTGTTGCTTTCTAGCTGAATGAGGCTGATGGAACCCCTGGGTATTGCCCCTGAAGTTGTAGATGTGAGGACACTACCAAGATGGTCGGATATACCGATACAGCATCATTACACGGATTACTCCAATTCGCTGGTGGAGCCCACACACCACGCGGAATCACCGTTCCCTTGTCAATCCATAATAAATCGGAAAATTGCATTATGGTGAGAATTAAATGCACAATTTTTACCTTAAGAAGAGGGTGTCGAGAATGAGAAAATGTCGAAAATCTTTTTTCGTGTCACGGGACATGAAAAACCCCATTTTCGTGGGGCTGCGTTCCCCACGTGCTTGCCATCTTCGCCTTCGACTCGGAAGGCAATCTTGCACGTGGGGGACGGTGATCTGTTTTCCAAGGCTCGGGCATGTAATGTACTATTTTGTTTCCAATTTAATTTTTAAGATCCGGGTGGATTATCTTTCGAACATCATCTCGATTGTTTTTCTATCTTTATAATCTAAAATATATCACAATTTCCATTCTATTTTACATGATGCAGGAGTCTCGAAAAATTATGATTGTACAATAAAAAAAAGTAGAAAAAAACTGAACATTCTCAAAGAGCGTTTTTAATAAAGATTAAGAAATAACTCACGATCACGAAGTAACTCACGATCTGATCGCCATTGACTACTGTGACAAATGATGACCTAACAGCCATTAGATACATCAAATTATTAATTTGCAATTCCCTCCCTATTGGGTTTATTTCCCAATATTATTCAAAAACGCTCTTTGAACATGTTCAGCTTTGTTTCAACGTTTTTTTGATTGTACAATCATAATTTTTGGAGAACCCTGGGCTATGTAAAACTGAATAGCAATTGGAGATCATTTCAGATTATCAAAATTCCGAGTTCAAATCCCGGCCGGGTAGAATGGTGCGATCTAACTAATGTAAAATAACGATAAAAAAAAGATCAAAATAAAAAGTCCGGGCCTTAAATTGCTCTACAAAAAAAGGTTTCTGGCCATTTTGTTTCAAGTCGATTATCGTTATCGAAATAGTTAAGCAATTATAGTCATAATTTGATAAGAAAATGATCAAGTGTGAAGAGCTTGTGTGTCCAGAAATGTGCGATTACTAACTAGGTCCTTGACGGTAAATCTTAAACTATCATAAATGTGTTGAAAGAAAATTTCAAGAAATATTTTTTTTGGGAGATTCAATTCTCTAGGAAAAAAATCCTAGACATTCTACTCTAACTCCACTCATTATCGAGATAATTTCACAATTAACAAAACAGAAATAATTAATTAAATAATTAGAAATAAAATATTCATTTTTGCCTTTTCCCCATTACAATAGCATTAAAATATTTGCTTTGTGCCTCTGACAAATGACGATTCTATGAGTAAATCCTTTCGTTGCCGGAATGAAGAAATAACTCGAGAAATTAGAATAATCTTCGACTGAGCGTCATACATGCATCATTGGAGAGCAGCGCAAAAATTACCAATTCCGTTGGACAACATAAAAAATTAGTCACTTCTCCCAAGTTATTTCAATACACCTCTTTTATAAAATGCAGAATACTAAGAGGAAAAATTTAACAAGAATTGCTATTGCAGCACACGTGTGCAAAATAAAAATCTCCGGACATTTCTACTTATATCGCCTCTGGAAAACCCATGCATCAACCCGATAGATTAATTTTACCCCTCAACGTGACATGCAGGGATCCAGTTAAATGTGAACTTTCTTTAATTAAAGGACTGGAGATATATCGATTTTACAAGTAGACGCGGTAGTCAATCCAACCAATGAGACATTGGATGACAATAGTCCAACGTGCCAAAGAATATTCACCAAAGCAGGTCCAGCACTCAGTATTGAAATTGATAATGAAGTTAATGGTAAGGTATTTATTTTCAGGAACATTGTTTCATTGAAAAAACCAATGTACATTCTGAAATTCTGCGTAAATTGGATAGTAATAGTAGAAAAGAAAATTTTTATTCATTAAGTCATCTTAAATACTTCAAAAACGAGTGGTTTCCTTAAAAAATACCCAAGAAAATTGTTGTAGCCCAAAGAATTCACTATGAAAAAATATTTTTTTTTTTACATTTTTCGATAACTCCACCTTCTTAAAAGATACTTCTATTGTTCTAATTTAAAAAAAAGATTTTCCTTCCACTTAATATTTTTGAACGTTCAATTTTCTTTAACCACTTAAGACCAAATGACTTTTTCAAAAAATCTCAGATATTGTTATAGAAATTTTCATAAGCTACAAAAGATATTTAAAATTTTCAGAAATACAGAAAAATGAACATTTCCCACGATTTGATGATTCCATTCATTAAATTGTCTCCTCTATTTCAAAAACTAATGGTTTCATCCAGGAATATCCCAAAAAAATTTTCTACTCTGCAAAGATGTTTACGAAAATTTTCTGATAGACCTATTAGTTTATACAAAACATCTAATTGCTTTATATTTATTCAACTTAATTTTTAATCATTCCAGAATGCAGAACTGGCGAAGTAAAAGTGACCCAAGCTCACAACCTCCCAGCCCGTTACATTATCCACACAGTTGGTCCAATCTACAACGTGAAATACCAAACGGCAGCTCAAAATACCCTCCACTGTTGTTATCGGAACGTTCTCCAAAAATCACGTGAACTTGGATTACGTACAATTGCACTACCCGTTATTAATTCAGTGAGACGTAATTATCCACCTGATGCTGGTGCGCATATTGCGCTGCGTACAGTGCGAAGATTTTTGGAGCAATTCAGTGATACGATATCGTGCGTTGTCTTTGTACTGGAGCCGTGTGATTTGGGAATTTATCAAGTGCTGCTGCCTCTGTATTTTCCGAGGACTATTGAGGAGCAGGATAATGCTTGCTGGCAGTTGCCTAGTGATATTGGGGGGACTGATGGGGAACCCATGCTGCCAGATCGACAGATACGAATTATTGACAATCCACAACATACACTTCATGGTAAATACTATTCATTAGGTTTTTCTTGTATTTTTTTCATATAGTTATTGGAATTTCGATATTGAACGTTTGCCATTCACGTTAATTCTTGATGTCTTTGTAAACAGAGATATTGGAATTTTGAGTCAATGACAAACATTCCACTTTGCCCCACCTTCCCCTCATTTGGAAGATTTTATGTAGAGGATGGGATGTTTATTGAATATTTCGATTTCCATTAAGTGATTATTGAAATAATTATGGTACAGTCTGACAACTTTCATTTTCAATTTTTACTTACTATTGTAGGTTGAATTATCTTGATGACATGTCAAAAAACATTTTTTTCGGAATTTCATTTCCCACAAAACACGTCTGTCTCAATAATTACAAAATAAATCACGATGGAAATTGGAATAATGGTAAACATTCCCTGTTTATTTCAATTCGGTTAGTGGGTTATTTACGCTGATTGACATTATCTGAAAAATAGGGCATGAAGCGACGTTTATTACACGCGTATTGGGAAATAGGGGTAATTTGCACAGATGAATACCCTCGATATTTCCGTATTCATCAATTTTCGAGAGATTAATTGCCTATATGTTTCTTCTCTTTTCTTGCATTCGATTATAAATTCAATGTATTTTCTCCCAGATATTATTAAATATTCTTTCTTTGGAATACAGGGAAATGAATTGGGTCAGAAAATAAAATCAATATCCACTCGCTTATTTTTCCCAATAATAAATACCATGGAACTTGTCCATTTTCTGAAGTGCAAGTATTGGAAAATCAATTAATTTTGTTTGCAATATAGTTGGATGAAAGTTTGTGAAACTTTCCCCCGTATTGATTATATTATCTCTTAGTGGAATAAAAGTAGAAGTTTTCGTACTCATGACTATCATATTTAATTCACAAACAACTTTGAAAAGCGTAATTCGTAATAGTTTGAGGTGGCTGGTGGTGTAATTCCTAGTTCATTGGATAAAATTGAAATTAAATATTCAATTGCTCATCTTTTATATTCTACAGCTGATGAGACTATTGAATTATCTAGTCAATTGGATACATCACTAAACCTCAGTGAGCACGCATTCACTCAAATGCAGGGAGATTTGGACAGGCAGAGGTTACTGGGTGAGCGACCACTCGCTGATCCACTTGCCGACATAATGCTCAAGCAGATGCAGCAGAAGGAGAGGTAAATCTATCAGCGATTTTCTACTCTCAATTTCCCTCGTACCATTTAGCTTATGCTGCATTTTTAAAGCACTGCTCGATGAGACGTGAAAGAAAGAATCAGTTAAATCTCGAGCTTTGTGTTCGATTCAAACACAAATCCCGCCATCCACGAAATGTTAAGGATTTGGGTACAAGATGGCATACGTTATCAATTTTTACATATCGTTAGATAATACAACAGTTTAAGAAGTCATGAATATTCAAATAAAAAACTAATTTTGACCGAACAATTCGATTCTTTACAGCTTAGAGAACTATTAATTATCTCGCAAATGATTTTAGAAAAAATATGCAAAATAGTATATTTTGTCATTCCGGCCGTAAGGACGCGGAGCGTCCATGAAGCACTGCCTCACGGCCGCAATGATAAAAAAACATTTTTTTTTATTGAGAATTTCATCAACTAAACCAATATTATCTGACGTACCGACGGCGGTAGCCGTGTGGTTAGACTGCGGGATTAGCATGCGGGGGACCTGGGTTCGATTCCTGGCTAGGGGAGCTAAAATTTGTGACATTGTAAATCTCGCGGTTTCATTGTCGAGAGAGAGTCTTGCAATAGACGACGGGGCAATCGTACCTGGGCAGGTTTTTCCCCTCAAGTGAGGTTTTCCCTTGTCCTTTGGCGAATGTGGTTTAGGGGGTTGGGGGGATGGGATGGGAACAAATCGTGAAAACCCGACAGGATATACTAGAACAAAAAAACAATTATTAATCTTCGCAAAAAAAAATTTATCAGGCAGTTAAAAAACTTTAAATTCCATTCAATCGGAAATTTCATTCATTCAATTTTGGATTAAAAAAAATGACGGTTCTGAGATAATCATGATTTTTAAAAAACACCTTTTGGTGCATAAACTCCAAAAAACTGAAACGACTGTTATCAACATGATGTTACTTCCGCAATTATCAACAATTTTGCATGTTTGTTTTCCAAAATTTTCGTCTGATGCCCAATTTTTTGGAAAAAATCCCCGACATTGGATTTTAAGAGCTTCGGACTTCGGCGTAGAAATGTTCATATGAATATTGCGAAAAATTTGAATTCCCGTAAAATCCTCCACGCCTAGGGTTCCCCTTCACGTAAAATTTCATTCATTGTGTGAGCACTGTTTCATACTAAGGCTCTACAATATACTCAATTTTCAACCGTTGTTTCGCTCCAAAATAAATACTTATTCAAATTGGCATCGAAATGAAATATTTTTCGTAATGAAGAGTCAAACGGTCAAACCTCGCGAAAGAAAGATCATACGAGGGGCTCGTCACTCCTCAATCGGGTGGCTCAGTGATTTCTATAATGGGATGATTTCTTAATAAGAATTGAAAATCATGATTTCTTTTGAATTCTCATGATTTCCATGAGTAAATTCTAATGATTTCTTGATTTTAAGAAATCACTTGACAAATCATAATTTCGGGGCCAAAGTGAGGCATCTGGCGATAATGGCAGTTTTCTACACGACCTCATAACGTCACATTTTCATCATAAACCCTGAAGCCTCGGAGCGGTCATACATGAGGATTATACCTCGTGATAGTCCTACGTCACAAGGGTCACATCTCGCTAGGATCAAACGTGGCAAGGTTTAAACGTTACGGGTGTCCTATCTTCCAAGGGTCCTACCTCGCGAACATCATATTTCGCAAGAATTATGCTTAGCATGAAGAACTGTGTACTTTACCCTATGTAATCCATTTTATGAATCTCATAAGGAAATGACTCGGAGAATGATCCAACGGATTGAGTACTATAGGAAGTTCATAATATTTAAACTGCTTTCATCGCTGCTTTCCTCAATCAGAAGGATCAGAAGAGTTAGAAGATTCACAAGCGTCATATGGTTCGAATCGTCAGAGTGAAATGCTCGAAGGAATGTGCAATGCGGTCAAGAGAGTCATCTGCACTGATGAGAAAAAATATTTTTATTGAGATGTTTCTTTCTTGGCATAAGTATTATATACTTGAACCAATTTCAAATGAATGAGATCTTACGGTGAATATCAATTATTTCTTCTTGAAATATATTTACTTGAATCGAGATACGCGGCAGTGTATCGGCCAAGAAAAGTTTTGACTCCGATTGTACAAAACATCAGGCCGATCGCTGCCGTGTATCTATACATGAAGTAACTACCCCCTCCACTACCTCCGAATCATATCCATTAAATAAAATACAAACGTGACGAGCAGGGCTGCATATTTCGCAGATGGGAGTTTTCGACGTGATATTGTCAAATACCGGTAATTTACCTCTGGAGCGTCGTAAATGTCAACAAGTGTCATAAACCTACTCACAGGAAGGTTCAACTGAAATATCAAGACATTGAAAAGTTGGAGGCACGCAGGTGGGATGCTCATAAGAATGATACGGTCACGATGGTCATGACCCGCGAAGGCCAAACTTTACAAGAAACATACCTCGCAAGAATTATGCCTCCCAAGAGTCAAAAGTCGCAAGGGTTAAATCACACAGGCAAGGTAATCTGAAGGATGGACCTACCAAAAGGGTCGACCGAGGGACGCAGGCAGCGCAGTGATAAGAAGGGTCCAACAATCATGAATACCAAAAAAAGAAGCACGAAGGACCATCATAAGGGTTAAATAGGAGAAGAAGTTCGGATAATCTTTCGTGATTGTCCTGCTTGTCTGCCTCTCATTCTTGATCCTCGTGATTTTTAGACTTGCCTCTTCCGCAGGCGAGAGATAAATCAAGAGAAATAATTCGAAGGTGGTCTCCTTTGGCCCTTGTGGTTATTTGATCCTTGAAATTATTCACCCTGACTTTGTTGTTTGGCTCCGGTGTTCGATTGGTTATTAAGAGTTATTGGTTATTACGAGTGATTATGACGTTTGATCCTCGCGAGGTATGACATTGTGATGTTTCACCCTCGCTTCACCTCCAATCGCTCGGCATGACCCTTGCGAGGTATGATTCTTGCGATATTGAACCCTCCCGATATGAAAAAATATCGCGGTTTTGCTCATGCCAATGAAGGGCTCCAAATGAGTTTTCGACATGTCAAATAGCTTGAAAATCGCCCATGTAATTTACCTAGTTTATGACAAGTCAGAAACCATGTAATTTACCTGAGGTAATTTACTTGCCCAACCTTGGTGACGAGCTACATAAAAAATACTCTTAGGTACATTATATAAATTGGCCACAAGCGTCTCATTGATGTAACTATTTTTTTGTTCGAAGTAATATTTTAAAAAATACGCGCATAGAAACGGGTTCATATGCACATTCTCGCATTTCACATCAACTCCTATCATTTTTTTTGTTACGGAGGTGGTAGCAGTGCAATACAACCACACGCACCAAGGAGGGAAGCCCGGGAATTTACAAATTGAATATGGTGCACGAATGATGAATTCCACAGATATTTTTCAATCGAGTTTCGTGCACAAATGAATTCTCGAAAAAGCAAATTCAGTCGGAAAATCTTGAATAAATAATTAAAAGTCGGTGCAAATAACGACTGTGGAATAGAACTATTTGTTTTACTTCGATTGTTAATTGGAAAGATGATTTATCGTGTGAAAAATAAATGAGCCGAATTGAATAGAAAATGAAAAAAATTACAGGATATAAAAACGATTCCTTGTTTATTTTGAAAAAAATAATGCAATCTCCCTAAAAAAACAAAAACAAATGTTTTCAACGGAGTTTTTCAACTCATTGTCTAGTATCAATCTAATTCTCCATCTTCTGATCTGTGTCAAGGACGTTGGTCCTCCTACTAATTTTTTATTTCATCAAGAATTTTTTTAAAATCCTCATTCGATTTGAAACAATTTCTCTTATAGAAATCTGATTGTGCACTATTTTCGTTTTTTCGACATTGCTGACTTGGCTTTCTTTTTCATTTTTTTGTATTTTTCAAAAATTTCTACTTCCCAGTAAGAAACAAACAAAACTTTTTCTTGGCGCAGTTTTTTTTACAAAAACATTTGTTTTTGTTTTTTTAGGGATCAAATAAAGTAGTCCTTGACGTCAAGTCACCTATATTCACCATAAAAATGGAAAAGTTCTATTTTTTTAACCTAATATAATCTCCAGTCGAGGAATTTTCTACTTTCATGAAGTGATCAAAAATTCGTACCTAGGAGATAATTACATTGAGGATTGAATTGAATGTTGTTTTCTCGAATGAAGCCGATGTTTAAATCGAGATACGCGGTAGCGTATCGGCCAAGAAAAGTTTTGACCGACTGAGCAAAACATCAGACCGATAGCACCGCGTATCTATACACGACAGAACTTCCCCCTCCACTACCTCTAAATGATTTACATTCGGTATAATGAAAACGGGACGACAAATCGGGAAAGTGTCGTTAGTTACATCATATAAATCGCCTATGAGCTTTTCAACAGTGTAACTATGGTATTTTTTAGATTAACAGTAAAAAAGATACGCGCATAGCAACGAGTTGATATTCACATTCTCGCAATTCACATTATAAAGTGTGAGAATCAAGTTGTAACGTTGGCAGCGCCGGTCCAACTGAGCTTCATATCCAACGTTGAAGTGCTGCCGCCAGTGCATTTGAATGTGGGTTGTGATGTTGTTATGGAGAACCACGGGAAATGTTCTTCTTCACGTTAAATCACTTATTAGAATGAAACGGAAAATCAACTCGGTGTTCTATTTTGTTTTCTCTCGTCGAAAATTCGAATTTCATCCCGCCATATCTATATTCATATGCGGACCTTGGACACAAATGTAGTTTATGCACTGTTTGTGAGGTTATTGGTTTATGTTTGGAATGTGACAAAAGTGAGATGTGTCGAAAATATTGTGTGATCAAGTATTAAATGTCCGTGAATAGTTAAAATCGAAAAGAATTTTTTTTTTCTCCGAGTGTAATAGAAAATGTTTTCATTCCGTGGAAAAAAATTCTCATTATCAAAAAAATTTTGTGATTATTTAAGAAAAATTTATGTTATTAGG